GGACCACATGTAGAAAATGTAAAGATTTGTGGACCGTTTGATGGAGCTTAATGTGAACTTCCCCTAGGAGTTTGCAATAGATATCATTTTGCACTCTTTACCATCGTGCTATCATCAATTCCGCATGACATATCACATGAGTAAGGAAGAGGTCACACTCAACAAACTTCAAGGACTCCTAAAGACTGCAGATCATGGTCTTAAGGGTAAGTCGGGTGTTACTTCTACTCCTACCAACTCCGCCCCTGTCTTGGCAATCGGGAAAGGGAAGGGTAAGAAGAGGAAAAGTCCCTCGAAGGGTACCAAGGGTAAGACCCTTGAAGGCTCCCCTTCCAGTGGAACCAAGAAAGGTTTCGTGACTCTTTTTGCTGACTCAAAAGAGGCTTAATGCTTCTATTGTGATGAAAAGGCATAGTAGAAGTGGAACTACCCAAAGTACCAGTAAGATGTGAATGATGGGAAAATTAAACCCAACCATGCAGGTATTTACACTATTTTTTCTAATAACTCACCCTATTCAAACTCTTGGGTCCTTGATACCGGCTGTGGTATTCATATATGTTTTGATTTGCAGGGACTAAGAAGAAGTGAGAATGTGAAGCATGGAAGAATAAACTTGATTATGGGGAATAGGAAAGTTTCACCTGTCACCAAGATTGGAGTTTATACTTTATCGCTAAGTAGTGGGTTTAGTTTAGATTTGAATAAATGTTGTTATTCGCTAGAAAGAGCAAGAAATGTTATTTCCTTTCATGCATTATACAAACAAGGTTTTACCTTTTCATTTGATAATGAAGTTGGTTCGATTAATTCTTTCTTTAATAATGTTCTTTATTTTAAAGCATTACCTTGTGATGGTGTGTATGAAATTGTATTTGTTGCTGATAACTTAGGAAATAATGTATTGTGTATTGATTCTGTTAATGATAATAACTTGGATAAACCATCATTATGACATTGTCGTCTTGGACATATAAGCAAGAAACGCATAGGCCAACTCCAAAGGGATGGAGTCTTGAAGTCATTTCACCTAAAGTCAAATGATAGTTGTGAATCAAGCTTACTTGGAAAAATGACAAAGTCACCTTTCACGGGTTCTTATGAGAGGGGTGAAGGTTTGTTGGATCTTGTACACACGGATGTGTGTGGACCCTTCAAACATGCCACAAGGGATGATAATCGTTATTATTTAACTTTCACAGATGATTACAGTACATATGGACATGTCTACTTAATCAAGCATAAGTTAGAGACTTTTGAAAGGTTTAAAGAGTTCAAACAGGAAGTCGAGAATCAATTAGGCAGGAACATTAAGATGCTTTGATCCAATCGAGGTGGTGAGTATCTTATTTCAGAGTTCGTCGACTATCTTAGGGAATGTGGGATTGTCTCACAATTGACACCTCCCAAGACACCGTAGTTGAATGGTGTAGCTGAGAGTCGTAATTGAACCTTCTTGGATATGGTTCATTCCATGATGAGTCAAGCTTCGCTACCAATCTCATTTTGTGGGTATGCCTTAGAGACTGCCACCCATATCCTTAATCTAGTCCCTACAAAGAAAGTTGCCAAAACTCCTCATGAGATGTGGACTAGTAAAGTACCCACATAGACCACATCAAGATTTGTGGTTGTGAGGCTTTCGTGAGATGCGAGACTCGTGATAAGCTCGAACCTCAAATTGAGAGGTGTGTTTTCATTGGCTACCCACATAAATCCTTTGGTTATCTCTTCTACAGACCTAGTGAAAATGTGGTCTTTGTAGCTAGGAGGGCTTTCTTTCGAGAAAGAGAGTTCATAAGCCAAGGAAACAGTGGGAGGCAAGTTGACTTTAAAGAAATTCAAGAGTCAAGTGGTGAAGGAAATTCAAACCCTAGCACTCAACTTGAGGAGGAAACTCCTGTTGAGCCAATTGACAAGTCTGTACCTCTGATGCGTTCCACGAGAGTTAGGAATGCACCTGAGCATTACTATGGATTCCATATTACTGCGGAAGGTGATACACTTATCAGTGATGAGACACTGATAGGTCTGCATGAACCTAGCAGTTACGCATAAGCCATGGCAGGCCCTGAGTCAGCCAAGTGGAAAGAGGCAATGGACAGCGAGATACAGTCCATGTATGACAATAAAGTTTGGAACTTGGTTGAGAATGTACCAGGTCGTAAGACTGTAGGGTGAAAATGGATCTTCAAGAAGAAGACCGACATGGATGGTAATGTACACATTTATAAGGCACGACTGGTTGCAAAGGGTTTCTCTCAAACTCCAGGAGTTGATTATGATGAGACCTTTTCTCCAGTGGCCAAGATTAAGTCTATTAAGGTTCTGTTAGTCATCACTGCATTTCATGATTATGAAATATGGCAAATGGATGTCAAAACCGCTTTCCTTAATGGAAAGTTGGCTGAAGATGTATACATGAGTTAGCCAGAGGGTTTTGTCAGTACAGAGTATCCTAATAGAGTGTGTAAGCTTGAGAAATCCATTCACTACTAGAAAAAAAGCCTTTTACGATGCTCATTGCGCATCGTAAAAGGCTCAGACGACGCGTAAATGCGCATCAAGGAAGGCCCTATCATAAAGAGAGACGATGCACTTTTGCGCATCGTCTATAGACGATGCGCAATTACGACGCTCATTTACGACGCGCAATTACGATGCGCGTTTACGACACGCATGCGTATCAAGGAAGGCCCTGTCATAAAGGAAGACGACACGCGTGTTAATGACACGCAATGCGTATCAAGAAAGCGCCTGTCAACAAAGGCCATGTCATAAATAAAGATGACACACATTTTTGTGTATCATAATTTTAAATGTTTAAAAAAAATATTTTTAATAGATTTACTAATTTTCAAATTAAATTTGTATTTAATGTCTCATAACTGAAAATAAAATACCATATACAAAAAGTACAATCCATTACATAAAATTTAATATCATACAAATAATCGTTCCATATATAGAAAAATAAAACAAATAAATAGAAGTTGTAACAGAAATTTACAAACTAATAGTTCTAATAACCTAATGTGTGCCTCACTGTAAACAAGATTTGTGCTGATTTTGTTAAATGTGTGCCTCACTTGTATCCACTCTTCCTTAATAACACCACTTAAGGACTCTAAACCTATGAACTTGCTCACGGTATCTATATTGCCTACAAAAAAAAAGATAACTACAAAATAAGTGTGAAGATGGATTATTACAGTGTAAGAGAAATAAAGAACCTTGAGCTTCCTCCAATTTGACACATGGGTAGTCAGACAAGCGAACACGAGGCTCTTGGCGACACATCTGATTTGAGTCTCTGGAGTAACCGATCTTTGTTCTTTGGCTTGCTGAAGGAATTGGTTACTGTATCAAGCAACACACACTATCAAATTTATATACTTTTTTATTTTTTTTAAAAAGTGTTTTGATGTTGGAATTTTCTCTGTACTCGGGGCAGTGTTTGTTGGTTTTCATGTGACCAAACTGATGAATCAAAACATAAAATCATCACATCACAACATATGTAGACCATACTTGACCTTTGTATTTTATGTTAAAAAGGAAAACGACATAACATTTGTAGAGCATACCTGACCACAAGCTCCATATGCAAAACTCTCTCTTGCATGGATATCTGTTAGTGAAGAACCAAGCTTGTCAGCTAGTGCAACAAGATGCTCCTTTGCATCTTGAGAAACAAAACCATGGTTTTAGTATCCAAGTTGTAGGTATCCATGATGTGTATGGATGATATTTGTTGTATGTAACCTTGTCCAATTTGTATATATGTATTCATACCACATATATGCCACATACTCAAAGAATACTTGAATATTAAGGTGTTAGAGATATTAAATTTAGTCTTGTAGTAATCATTGATGGAGTAAAATTAAATTAACCTAATAGGAATGTTAAATATTATAAAAACTTGATAAAAGACGATATGTTAAATTTTAAGAAAGACATGTGAACATAATTGTTTTGACTTTTAGTTGCACTGGAAAACAACTTCAAGTATTTAAGATAGCATACCAAAATTTGTCCATCTACATGTGGATCATGCAAAGCAGTTTCTTTTGGGTAACCCACCAGCAGCAGGGGTAATTTGTCCATGTAGACGCAGTAGATTGTACTAGGGACTTCAAGCACTTATAAAACTATTGTATGTAGGGTATTTTGGTAAACCCACCAGCAACAGGGGTAAGTCTGTCCAAAAAATATCTGAACGGCGTAATCATATTTAAATAGCATCAAATCAGCACCAATTTCTCTATATCTTCTTCATTTTGTCTAGAAAAACAACTAAAAGACCTTGAAAGCACAAATACAACAAAAAAAGTATTAAAAATATGTATTTGAAGGATTAATTAATGAAGAGAAAAAAACAAAGTAACTTTATTTACGATTTTACCCCTGTAACTGCAGTTTTTGTCCATGCCCAAGCTAATGGAAGAAAATACCATGGGGATTTAGCAATCATGAAAAGCCCCAATGTATATGAAGTGGCAAATATCAAAACAGATTCCCATGCTTTTATGTTATCAATTTCAAATACCTTTTGAGAAAAAAAATAAAAAGTATTAAATATGAATATGTTCAAATAAAAAAGGATAAAAATTAATAAGTAAGAGTGTAATACGGTCTTGAGAAGAGTATCAATGATGTCTTCAAAGTGATATTATCTGAAAGTGGTTCTCCAATTTTTCTAAAACCGTAATTTCGCATAATTCTTGTCTTCGCATAATTCTTGTCTCCAAAGTGATATTATATGTTCAAATAAAAAAGGATAAAAATTAATAAGTAAGAAAATACCATGGTGGTGTGATAGGACTGGCTACTACTTTGACTATTTTTCCCTTTCGTAAAGGAATCATTGCAAGTTATATATCAGGTTTTAAGAAATACATTATAAAGACCATCAGTAAGGGCCTGTTTTGACATAATCACAAAACTATTAGGACTTAACTGTTATATAATTTAAAAAAAAAAGAGGGGGAGGGGGTTTACGTATCAAGGCAAAGATCTGCCAAAGAATTGCGTCTGATGTGTTGGTTCTTCATAGCAACATCCGTGAAAATACTATGGTCTGGTTGCACACCCTGTGCAACAACATCTACACAATACCCAAAACATGTAAGAAAAAGCAACGTACTTTTATTTCTTCTTATTACAACATTCAAACTATAATTTCTTAATTAAAAGTACAAGGTTATAACTGGGTATAGTTTTATATAATAAGAGGATTAAAAATGGCATACAGGCACGAAGTCTCATTTCACTAGCAGTTGGGAACCTGAGAAGCCAAAGGGAACTATTGGGAACACGCTTTAAAATATTGCACCTGAAAAACATTATGTTAAATGTTACTTACAAGAGTAACATAAATTGAGATTATATCTTTAATGTTACCAAGTGATAAAAATTTCAGGATCCATCTTGTAAAGCTGATTAAAACAAGCAAATATAAACTTGTTTTCAGGCAATCCATAAGTTGAACGCTTGGGTTGGCAGTTTACATCCAGCACATCAAGGTTTTTCTGCACCCAACCATTAAAAAAATGATTATTAAAAAGAGCTGACATCACTTTAAAAAATCTAACAAATTAGAATTTAAGAGAGTATGTAGTATGAAAAATATACTCAATTATAACAATAACAGATTAATCAAACTACATTTACACCTTTACTTGCTTGTAATCATTCACAAAGTAGCAATGAGGAAGATGAACGACCTTTTAGAGTAAATATGAGCAGATCGAGTTGGAGAGACAAATTGTAACAGATTAATATTTTTATGTATATTTAAATGTATTTTGTTCATTGTTATTATATATAATTGAAGTTTTCATTATATTTATTTAATATATCTTGTGTGGGTATCATGGTCTTCAATAAAAAGAAAGAAGAAATCAACCAAATGCAACCAAAGATTCAAGATTCGCAACTAAATGCAACAGAAGATTCAAATTACAAGAAAAAACTATACCTTCTTGGAAAACCATTCATGTTTCCAAAAGAGTTATTTGGAAATGAAAAACCAGCAACAGGAGTCACAATGTTTAATCCCACGATCTTTATATTCATTGGCTTCCCATCAAGTTGGACATTGTTATACCTTTTGACAGTCGCTAATGCATCTTGCCTGCTTGAATACAATATCATAGCCATCCCCTGAAAGAAAATTCAGTTACAACATAATCATAAACATGAAACTTTACAAAAGGTACTAAAGCCTTGAAAATTACCTTTGATCTCCCACTTCTGTCATAATGTATAGAATACTTTTTCAGGTCACCAACTTCTGCAAAAAGCTCCTGCACAGATTGAAGTGGTTTTATCCATGTGAGATTTCACCCAAGAAATTCTATGATTTACCAGTAAAGAAATAGAAAGTATATTGTGCACAAAATACAATGTCATCCACAAATCGACCAAAACAGTTTTCAGATACATCAGCTACACTTAACTATTTTCTTGTTACTATTAGTGTTTGCCTAACTACAAGAAACCATTAATCTCTACTATAACTTAGATTGGCTATGTACCATTTAATTCATGCCCTTGCACACGAGTAAAAGAATCTGGAAATAGATTTACACATCTTCAAATAATCTTTAAGATGTATTGTAATTTATACTAACTTTGCCTTCTACCAAGTACCAAACTTAGAAGTACAAGGATTTCAATTTCACGTTTATTAGATCGTCAATAAAGAAGAAACAACCAAAATCAATTTGATTTTTTGAAATATTCTAAGTCTGATTTTTTATGGTTAATCCAAACATTGGAGTACGGTATCCAGATCTAGCCAAAGTTAGCTATAAGAGGTAAAAAGAAAGTATCAATCACCTTAATATCGGCATTTGAGACACTGTAATCAAGGTTTGATATGTAAAACTTCGTCCCAGTTTCAATCGCAGATAGATGGCCGCTAGGTCCAACTTTCCCCATGACATTAGCATAGATGAGATGCACCTTTGTCTTGTCTGAACGGCTTTCAAGAACAGCTCTAACAACCTAACACATAATATAAATTACCATCTTATTTTATTTTATTTTTAAAAAAAGGACTTGATAATGTTTAAAATAAATAAATAAACATCTGAAACATCGGAGTGATGCCAGATCCACCAGCTATCATTCCAAAGGCTCTAACCTGACCTGGTTGATACCTAAAACGCCCCTGTAAATGTAATTTAAAATATTTAAAGCTCAAGTCCATTCAACTCCGAATAGAAGAATGTAATTAGTTTGATTACTAAAGGCGAGGATGCAAAAAACTTTAGAATCAAAATCAACTTTCTTAAGCGTTGATACATCAAATCCAGTTATCAAATAATCCAACAGAAACCATAGAGAGTAGCATTACCTCAAATTTCTCCACCAGTTAGTGATCCACAACCTGAAATTAAACAAAAACAATAATAAGTTTTGTAACAGATCTGCGAAGAATCAGAACAGGTGGAAGAAGGACGTAACATATCAGAAGGTGTGCGAATCAAGTGGGGAAGAAAGAAGCCAGAAATAGAGTAGATGATGAATCCAAAGGGTCAAAGATGGGGGGGGGGGGTTTGGAGGAAAACTCGTCTGATTTGCGTTTCTTGCAGAAAATATTTGCCGATAACGACCCCGCTCTAGGGATGCCGTATCTTCCCTCCCTTTACATACATTAAAATAAATAAATCAGAATTTGAAACAAAAAACAAGTCTTTGAAAGAAAGTGGTTTACAAAAACCACCTGACAGCTGGATTAATAGGGGAAGAAGCAGAGGGAAGATTAGTTCCATGAACGAAATTGGAAGAACCAAGAGCTGAAGGAGCGGGACCGGGACGAGATCCAGGAAGCGTAGGTGGTCCAGTACTGTGATTCAGAACTAGTAACCCACTCGGACCTTGAGAACAAACCGGAACAACATCCGGGTTTGATGAGATTGGTTTGAATAGTTCTAGAGGCCTATTTCTCTGCCGAACATGAAGCCATACCTAAGAAGGGGATGATTATAAAGAAAAACATCTGGAAAGACGGTGCAGGTTGGAGGTAGTTGAGGTGGGTATCAGGTGGAATTTTAGGGTTTGTTTTGATCGATAAAGATTTTAGGAACCTGAAGTATGAAATTATCGATGTTTTACACACAATGCTTTTAGGGTTTCTTATGATTGAAGAGCATTTTACATACGAAGAAGAAGAAGAAGGACGAGAGTATCAAGGCGGGGTTTTTTATTTTTTGGATTTCATTCCCCCCAAGGCAATTAAAAAATTGGAGAACGCGTGTTCATAAAGAAAAATATAAAGCAACAGTTTTAGATGATACGCTTTTTTATGATAGGTGTCCTCCGTGTTTTTAATTTTTTTTGTTCGACACTATTCGTAGGGCACGCATAAATGCGTGTCTTCTATCCTTCAAATTTTGCAAAACTAACATTATTTTTTAGGGCACGTAAAAATGAGCGTCCTCTATTAGCGAGTGTCATTGTTTGCGCGTCATTAAAGGGCTGTTTTCTAGTAGTGATTTATGGATTAAAGCAAGCACCTCACATATGAAATCTTTGCTTTGATGAGAAAGTCAAAGAGTTTGCATTTTCTAGGGGTGAAGATGAATCTTGTGTATATGTCAAGGCTAGTGGGAGTATAGGTAGCTTTTTGGTACTATATGTGGATGACATACTACTCATATGAAATGACATCCCAACTCTGCAGGAAGTTAAGTCCTGTCTTGGTAAGTGTTTCTCTATGAAGGACCTAGGAGAAGCTGCCTATATTCTAGGGATAAGGATCTGGAGACACCGGAGTAAAAGATTAATTGGACTTAGTAAGAGTACCTACATGGATAAGGTGCTGAAGAGATTCAGCATGCAAGACTCCAAGAAAGGAGAGTTACCTATTCAGTGTAACGCCATATTGAGTAAGACTCAAAGCCCAAGTACTGAGGCTGAGGTAGCATAAATGAGTCGAATACCTTATGCTTCGGCTGTAGGATCGATCATGTATGCTATGACTTATACTAGACCTGATGTAGCCTTTGCTTTCAGCATGGTTAGCAGGTATCAGGGGAACCCTGGCAAGGCACACTGGACTGTGGTAAAGACTGTACTCAACTACCTACGGAGGACTAAGGATTGGGTCCTTACCCTCGGTGGGAGTGACGACTTAAGAGTTATAGGGTATAGTGATGCTAGCTTCCAGACTGATATGGATAATTTCCACTCTCAATCAGACTGGATCTTTACCCTAAAAACAGAGGAGCTATCACTTGGAAAAGTTTCAAGCAGGAGACAATTGCTGATTCTACTTGTGAATCAGAGTATATAGCAGTGAGCAAAGCAGCGAAGGAGGCAATATGGCTGAAGAACTTCATTGGAGACCTTCGAGTTGTACCAGCTATAAAGGCGCCTATGGAATTTTTCTGTGATAGTGAAAGTTCTGTTACCTTAGCCAAGGAACCAAAGGATCACGGGAGATCCAGACACATCGACAAAAAATATCACTTTCTCAAACATCTCATAGAAGAAGGAATCCTCGTTGCAAAGAGGGTATCATCAGATGAGAACCCAGAAGATACCCTCACGAAGGGACTAAGTTGGGTTAAGCATCTTCAGCATTCTTGGAGCATAGGGCTAAAGGATGATATAAGTTGTAGTAGTTAGATAATTTGGAAATTTGTAAAGTGTAATTGACATTTGATGATAAATAAAAGTTGTGTTTATTTATGAGTAAAGTGTTGCTATCTTTTGTCAATCGTTTACTATAATTTCCTTTTGCATGTTTTGACTTCCATAATATTAAGTTGTGTTTTATATATTATTCAAATTTTTCACAGTCGGTCATATGTTAGAAGTAGATACGAATTAAGACTGTCATGAAGTTCGTTATAGGTGTCAAGTTTTGGGACAACACTTCATGAGTACTCAGAAGTTCTGAGTATTGGAATCAACCCATGCTCATTGGTATCACTTCATGGAATTTATCTTGAGTGATCATGAGACGGTAATATCATATAAATCTTCAAACCTAGAGATATGATTTGTTGCCTATGAGTTGGTTATGTGTTGATTGTACGAAAATACATTGCTAACTCGATGTTATAAAACGTCCTTTTGTGTATAATTCAACAAGTAGTAGAGCAAACATACGAGTCAAAGTTTATTTGTTCCTTCTTGGATTAGAAGTTGATATCTGGTCCCCTCAATGATTTTTTTTGACCTATGTACCGCGCCCGGTCAGAACTAAGTTGATGTGTTCAATTAAGTTCTTTGTCAAATAAATCAGAAATTGGGAAACAAACTATTGGATAATAAGTAAGACATTGTTCCATGTAATTGTCCAACTGATATCTAGAACAGAGGATTATATGATCACTTATATTAAATGGCGTATCACCATCTTCTCCGTTCCGAGAGACCTTGAAAGAGCTACAATTGGCGATCGGTTCCTGAAGTCATACTTGCAGTGATAGTTATTAGACTTATCCAAGTGGGAGACTGTTGGATAAGGTGTCTAAGTCCATAACTATTTCTGATATGTACTTGACCCGACCCGACATGGTCCATTTGGGTTGCATGGCACCATGCATTTGTATAAACTAAGTGAGAGAAATAACACTTATGGTTATTAATATATTATAAGTTCTAGTATATTAATAATATTATTTAATTAGTTTGATCAAGAATTAATTTGGAATTAATTAAGTGATCAAAAGATAACTAATTAAATATATGGGTTGATTATGTAAATCATCCATAACGTATATAGTTGGCTAAGAGGCTCCATGGATTATCAAGTTGGGTTTCACCCATAGGATGCTCCATGGATTTAACCCATGGATCATGGAAATGAAGAGTCATGTTACATTAGGGTTTACATGGTGTAACACTAATACAACACACTATATAAAGCTCTTGTTCTCCCAAAATCGGTAGATACATGCATTCTTGAGGGCTAGAGCCGATTTTTGAGTGTTAAGATTGTCTCTAAGTTTATTCCATAGCATTTGGTGTTATTTGAAGCATTTGAGGCATCACACTTGGGGTGCTAGGCTCACAAGGTTTCAAGGAATCAAAAGCAACAACAAGGTATGGTATTCTATCTTACATTTAAGTTAAAAATGTTCCCCATGTATGCTAGATAGGATCAAGAACCTTGGAGATCAACATTTTATGAATTTTAGACATACATTGATCCAAGGTTATTAGGGTTGCATGTACACTTAGGAAGTGTTAGAATTCTCAAAACCCATCCGTTAGACTGTCTTGAATTGATTTGTAGATTGTCTAAGTGTTTGGACATAGCAAAAGTTTGCTGAAATGTTTATGAGTACTCTTGAAATAAGATTCGAGTATTGGATTAGACCCACGCTCATATGAATCACTTCATGAAATTTATCATGAGTAATTGTGAGAGGATAATATCGTATAGTCTTTAAGCCGAGATATATGAGTTCTTGTTTACAAGCTACTTGTGCATTGATTGCTTAGAAACACATCAGTAACTTGATGTTATAAAATATATTATTGTGTACGCTTTAATAAGTAAATATTACAAGCATATACGTTAAATTTTATCTGTTCCGTTTATCCTAAGAGGATTAAAAGCAATATCTTAGGCCCTTCGATGATTTTGTGTTGACTTATGTGTCGAGCCCGGTCAGGACTTAATTAATGTGTTCAATTAAGTTCTATGTCAAACGAATCAGAAATCAGGAAACTAACTATTGGACAATAAGTATGACTTTATTCCATGTATTTGTCCATATTATATTTTGAGAATGGAGGACTACATGATCCCTTATCTAAAGGACATGTTATTGACTAGGTCGGATTTCAACATCAACTTTTTAGAGCTACGATTGATAATCGGATTTTCAAATCGTAGTTGAAGTTATAGTTATTAGACTTATCCAAGTACGAGACTGTTGGATTAGGTGTATAAGACCATAACTATAACTATTATGTACTTGACCCAATAGTAGCACGCTCCTTTTGGGTTGCCTTAACCATTGCAATTTGATAGGATGAATTATGGAGAAAAAGGTTAATTGTGATTTATTATTATGTTATCAGAATAATATATTAATTCAGAAATCATATTATTTAATTAGTATTGATCAGAAATTAATTTGGAAATAATTTGGTGGTCAAAAGAGACTAATTAAATTAAGGGGACTGGTATCGAAATTATCTAATAGTTCCAACTTGGGCTTGTGGCTCCTTGTGGAAGGGTTGATGATTTGTATGTGTAGCCCACATAGATTTCGTCCATATGAGGGCCTTCTGCAAGGATCCATAAGTTGCTTAAGGCATAAGCAAGGTAATTGGGGTCTCTAAGTAGATAACCCTAAGGAGCTCAACTATAAAAGGACCCTTAAGGCACTAGAAGTCAGCCCTACGCATTCAAGAGAATACACTAGCCGATTTTAGGAGGCTCTCACCTCTCTCATGATCCTCCATTGTTATTTGATTTTTATGATCCACCAGAGGTGCAACATTTGAGGCACTAAGCTCTTGAATGTCAAGATTAAGCAAGCTGCAAGAAAAGGTATTTATCTAACTTTGTTTTACATGTCAATTTCGAAATATTCTATGCTAGTTAGGGTTCATGCTTTGGATGATTAATATTGCTTGTATAATTTTAGAAAAACCTAGATCCAAAGCATTAGGGTTGCATGTACACCATAGGAATGTTGTAGTGCTCAAAACCCATCAATTGGATTGTACTCATTCATATAAACCGTGCATCGTAAATTCCCCCTAGTCTGATGCGATTGGATTGCTGACAATGGGATTAGACTAGACAAAGCACCAATGGATCAAATAACAAACATAATGAACAAACCTCACCCACAAGATTCATGGTGTTGCGCGATGGGCCAAGCATGGCCTAGCTTAATGATCTTTCCTTCTTAGGAGTATTATTGGTTAAGTGTGATGTAATTTAACTGTTACTACGATCATGCAGAGCGTGGTTGCTAATAATTTTATGTGCAGCGAGGATGCTATGTGAAAATGAGGACAATAAGGAATCAGGCCAAGTTAGCTTAGAAGCGTAAGCACGCCATTCAGTCCGTGAGACTATTATTCGATGCAGTTGTTGTTGTATACTTGCAACAAGGTTCCTGCGGATGATGACCTATAGATGAAGGTTGCTACATGAGTATGCAGCACACATGTTATGCAGTTTCTATCATCTCTCAGTGGAATGTCTCAAATAATCATTTACGTAGTATTTTTTACATGCGTCGATTACCATCTTGAAGGTGCTTCTTTCATGGGCTATACCTAGCTTATTTCTGCCTAGTCTGATGCGAGTAGCGCAGGGTAGTCATATCAGACTACGGTGTATAAGGTGGGTTTCTATGATAATACATAACGATGTTGTTGGCATAAATAAAAGGTAGCACGACTCTTATCTAAGATGGATGGTGTCAAAATGATAGTATGTAAGGTTGTTAACTTTAATGTTAGTGGTAAAGATTCTG